CGTCAAAATTGGTTTTGTGGATTTCCTCTTGGTTGGCCTGCGTTTCGGGCAGTATATTACTTTATTTTTTGTACTTTCAGTATTAGGTCGGTGCTAGAGACTCTCAAAATGCACATCTCCGAAGCGAGCCGAGTCCATCGGTAGTCCACTCAATAAATCGGTTTCGTCGTTTTTCTTCGAGTGAACCGACACGTTTGGACTTCGGATACTTTCAGTGCTAGATGAGTATTCGGAACTCGGAATAAAGGTGCATTTCACACTACCGAAACGCGTCTATTGACACCTCGTTCGTGAAAATCGATTCGGTAGGTTTTGCCATATGTCGTGTTTGTGTCGGATTGCGAGAAGACGGCACGGTCGGAATCGCGAAGGAACGTGACACGTACGAGACCCGAAGGCATCAGAGAAGAAAGGAAATATCCCGATTTTTAAGTTCCCACGGAGTTCGAACGCGAACGCGAGCCGTGTTCGGGGAAATAGTAGGAATATGGCTTCATTCCGCCCGGGTTCTTACCGTGAGGACCATCGTGCTACAACGTTGGGCTAGTAATAAGCAGGGAAAATGAGGGTATTGTATAGACCCGACGCATCGATCTCTCGCGATAAAGCCCTTGCCAAAAGGAACATATGTTTCGTTCTACGGGCGACTCACGGATTCGGATCGAACTTCCAGAGGCTATCCTCCATCATTCGATATAGAAGGCTACTCTCGGTTCCAAAGACGTCTATCGTACGTCGTAATCGTGAGCGTAAACATGCGCGAAGAATCCTTTGGCTATGTCAATACGGGACAGAAGCTTTTGTGAGCGTGTTTAAACAATGTCGATTGTGTGCAGCCGAAAGAAGAAGCTTTCACGATCGAACGGTCGAGAGGAGATCCTTTGTCGGCTTATTAGCAGCTTCTCGACCTGATTAATGGAACCTAGGGAGAGACAAAAGATCTCCGTGAATGCCCGTCATCTACTCTTTGTCTCACTCCAAGAATATTTTGCGAGTGAAGCAGGCGTTTGCTAATGTCGACTCCGATTGAACGCGCAAAAATGGGGGAATACACGGAACATCACATGAATCATTTTCTTGCCCTCGAAAGAAACAGACTTAAAAAAAAAGCAGCAATAACTTTTGAATTCGCAATTTAAAAAAGCAAGCCCCTCGAAATACTCTGGAAGGCTCAATGATTGAGCCGATCGATGATCGACACGATAGACTGGAGTTCACTGGTGTTCTTGGATTCATTTTCGTGCCGATGAGAAATAGGAAGTTACAATTGAAGGCCTGCAAGGAAGACTAGTCTAATGTGAATAGATCACTCTTCCTTTTTAACCGAAGGTATCGTTTTTTGGGATATCTATATGTGAAAAGTTGGTCCATTTACGTATCGCATTATTCCCTGATTCCGAGAAGATGGTCACCAGAATCTTCACTTTTCTTCTGAAACTTGAAAAAGGATTTTTGCCGAGCTATCACTTTTCCTAATAACCGCTGAATCGTTCAGGAGCTCTGCTTTGGCTTCTCATCCAGGAATGAAGGAGAATATCATGTACCTGTGTCACAAGCATCTGCTGTCGAGCGTGTCACGTTCGGTATCGAGAGTGGTAAGTTACATACAGGTATTGCCTTTTCGAAAATACAAAAAATTCTATAGGTACCATATCGAGTTGTCTTCGCGACAACTCGGTATGATACCAGGATGCGAGCCATCTTTTCACAAGGATTCGTATTCCAAATGGCATTAAATCTGATACGTACCGAAGCCGAACGTTCTGACCGTCTGGACATTTCACCAAGATAGCTGCCTCATTCGCAGCAATTTATAATCGGACGCAGAAAAAATATCGGTTACGATCTAGAACCCGATGCGAGGGGATACGACAACCATGGCATGATCCGAATGAAATGCCTTTTAGCGAAAGATTCCCTGTACCCTTACCAGCGGATATCGTGATGCGACACTTCCGCACGTGCGAAGCGAGTCGCGAAAAAAACCCTGCACTTCCTTCCGTGGCGAAAAGCTGACCTATATTGTAGTTCTTAGCGAGTGGCACCGAGGGTTAGGATCCAATTCCGACTTCGAATCCTCAATCAGGAATTTCGATCCACAGCGGAGCAGCAAAACTCGCTGAAGATTGTTTCCTCGATGAAGAGATTTAAAGGCGAAGGATGGGGAACTTAGGAGCGTGCGCAGGATTTTCGGGAGGAGTGCTCCGTATTAAGACGGCTGAATGACAAGCGGGATTGGGGGGGGGGGGTTAAGCCCCCAGCGCCTTCCCTCTCCCCCTCTTACGCTACTAGTGAGAAGAAATCACTTTCATGTTAATGTCTCTGACCAGTCATATCGTCCCTGGTGATTGTTCGCGATTTATGAGTCATCTTTGCGCATGAAGACGTTAATGGGGGGGGGTTGTGGAACTTCAGATTTACATGATCAAGTCTTCTACAATTGGGGTGCAAGTCTGTTCAACGCCAACCAACTGTATCTAATGATTCCCGCAGTCGGCAGGTATGCCGTCTGATGTTCCTTGGGTGAGGTACAGCCGTAATCCCTGGCATAGAGCGCATTCATACTCAGCTGGCTGTGTGGTAATGACGTCACGGATGACGTATGTGCTATTCGTGAACCCGGTCATCCCCGAGTCAATTCAGCCACCCCTCCCTTACCCTTCCTTACGGCTGGCTAACGTCTTAAGAAACTGAGGATGAACGCAGGCATTAACATTTTTCCTTTTTGCGAGTGTGACGCCAGCGATAGAAACCTGTACTGGAAGGTATTAAAGAATGCCGGAAGTCACCCATCTTCCATTGTAGGCATTGCGATCGATGCGACCCGATCGAAGGCTAAGGTGGACTTGGAATCCATATCGACATTTGGGATTCGATGTCGGGGAGAGGTCTCAGAGGAGATGGTCCCAAAGGTGGAAGAGGAAGGGTGTATGTATGGGGTCATTTTGTCGCAGTTTTTCCCCGTTAATTCAAAGGGATGGGTTGAGGGAAGGGGGAGGGACGTGACCATTAACGCGAAGCTCCATCCAATTACGGAACTCGATCGGAGGGGAGAAAAGAGACGGAACATTGTGTGGAAAAAATGCATGACTCCCAACGGACCTGACTAACTCAGATACATGGACGACACAATGCCATTGAATGGTCTTGGCCCGGGCTTACCTCGTTCATTCCCCTCTTCTCGCGGGGCATCAGAGAAAGGGGTTCCTCTTACTCGAGAAGAAAGCGTGCGGAAAATTTCAAGTGGGCTTTTTGGGAATCTCCCATCTGGTGATGATCTTCCCACGCCCTCCCATCTCTTCTCTCTCTCTCTCTCTCTCTCGCCCCTTCCATCACAGAACGTCAGTCTCAAACTCCTACGTCTTGTTTCCTGTGTCCGCCCTAAATCGAATGCAGTGAGTGCGAGGGAGGAGGAAATGAGGACCATGAAATTGGGCCGACTATGTTCTCGGTGCGTGGCTGTGAATAGGGAGGAAGATGAATGCATAACGGGGAGAATCGAATTAACGTCTCCTGACATCCCTGCCCTGATCAATTCCCCGGCCCGATCAGATTGTCCTAGCCCTTCCTTCATATGGTGCAATTTTCGCATTAGAGGGGAATATTTTGGTCGACGAGAGAGCTTCATCTAATCCTGTATGTGCTTTTCCCAAGGAGGCATCCTGAACAGGGATCCCATGGGGGAGACCGGGAAAAGGCATGCCTGCAAATTGGTTTCCTCTCATTGCTGACATGTTCCCAGCCACTTTCCTCTCCCTATCCCTTTCCTTCCACATCATCCCCTTTCCATTTCCGCCTTCCCCCTACTCTTTTCGAGATTTGCATCTTGATTTTTATTTTATTTTCGCCTTTGCACATTTGCTAAGGGTCCATTTCGTTGACGTGAATGGGGAATTGGCTCCAGCCAGAGGGCTAGATGCGCTTGTTTAATATGACGGGTTTTATACGACGTGGGCCTAAAAAGGCCATCATTGGGCATCTAAGTCGTCTTTTTTTCTTGTTCCCTAAAATTGCCTCTTTTGCCACTCATACAGAGAGATAGGAGGGAGGGGGGGAAATCTCTTGAGGGAAGGACTCCGAGTGGAGTGGACAATAGACATGGTCAGGGCGCGACATTAATGCTCATTTGGCCCCATCCTCATCCTTATCCGCCTTATACACAGGGTTACAATACCTACAGTAGGCCTATGGCCTCTGTTTGCTTCCATATCCAGGCGTCTCTATCACCCACCCGTCTCTCTTCTCCCCCCTTCTCCGTGAATAATTTACCAGGTGAGTCCCGGGCATCTTGGAATGATCCTTCTGAGCATTCTTTACATCCTTCTGAGCGTTCTTCACATGATCGATTTACGTTGACTAATCTCGAGCCACACACACTCACACACACACACACACGCACGCACACGCGGGGGAAAGACACACTCACACACTCAGGAAAATCGCATACTATGCGATCGATACAGGAATAATTGCAAATGGAGGGGGGATAAAATAGGGAGGAATTCAAACAAGGGGGAGACGTGAATGGTCTGGTCGCTGGAAAGCACGACCCTGCCTTACCTGCTGCAGTATATACTGTACAGTGTCTATCATTGCATGCTGGAATATCCAGGAGAGGAAACAATCCCGGTGCGGATCACCATGGGGAAAGCTCATGGGGGGAATCTGATCTCCGTATGTATGAGATTATAGCAAGGAATATTGACGGTGTCTGCAGTTACTTCCTTAGCAACTGTGAGATTTTTTTCGTTAATCTCCTTCCTCGTTACCAGGAATGAAAAAAGTTTTGAGTGAAGATCTTGGGTGGACATCTTAGGGGTGATCACGCAAGATGGCCAGATGGTCTGCTTCCATCAAAGTCACGCACATTTGTTGCCTATGTAACTTCCACTATCTCCATCCCAACGCTACTCATTAAGGAAATTGAGTCTTCCTCATCTCTTCGTGGATTATACGAGGAACTTCTCCGTTTTGTTCAAAATGACGTTTCCTTTTATTCAGACCGGACTGCACGATTCGTCACCTGTACAGTACATGATTTCCTCTCGTGCTCTTTGGCTTCGGGTACAAGGTCGACACATTGAAATGTAAAAGAGGGAGAAATGACGAGGAATGCATTGCACATATCCCACCATGGATAAAGGAAATGAATATGATTGGTGAAGACACTTGTATGCAGGCAGCATGACTAGACAGACAGAGGGGAATGCGATCACAAAAGAGGTTGACGACGTGAGATGTCTTGAGCATCGGGTTCAATCGTGACATCCTTTTCTTTCCTCTTCAAACGTTCTTTCTCTTTTCCTTTTTTACCGTATATTATGTATGTACATGTGCATCACAGATTAACACTGCGCCTCTCTTTCTCTCTCACTCATAGTCTGTGCTACGGCCACACTTTTTCAGGTACCTTTGTGTAGCCCAGCATGTATCGCCCAGGGCTGTAATATCGGGTTGATTTTAATCAGTTTCATACGAGCATTGATATCTGTGATAGATATGGGCAGGGGATCAGTGCTGAGCGGCGAATTTCATCCGCTTCTGTTTCTGTCGTTGATTGCAGAACCAGACACGGACGACGTTTTTCTTTAGGTCCAATTTCTCAGCGATGGCAGCGATCTTTTCGCCGGATGGTCGAGGTTGGACGGCAAAATATGCCTCCAGGGATCTTTTCTCTGGTGCCGCTATGGAAGTGCGTTTCCGTTTCTTTTCTCCCCCCGGGAGAACGGAATTGCCATCAGGATCTCGATCTTTTCTACGAGCTTCCGCTTCGGCCGCTTCCAACCAGGCTGCTAATACCGGCTTCAGTGCTACCATGTTGTTATGACTCAACGTCAGAGATTCAAACCTGCAGATCGTGCTTTGGCTCAATGCTCCCACTCCTGGAAGCTTTAGGTTGGCTAGGGCTCGACCTGCGAAATATTTTCACAAATTATGTCGTTTCCCATATCATCTCCAAATAATATTTAAAAAAGGAAGAATGAAATAACTCGACTTACCAACGTCAGCTTGAGTGACACCGAGTTTGATGCGCCTCTGCTTGAATCTCTCGGCAAAGGCTTCCAGTTCCCTGGGGTCAGACTCGGAATCATGCATGCCCATGGCGACATGAGGGTGTGTCAACGAGGGATGGGTGCCCATCATGCTGTTCATAGCTTGGTGACTGTACATACTGCTATGGAACTGAGGATGAGAATGAGAAGTAACGGAAGCAGCGGCTGCAGCCGCTGCTGCGTCGCTCATTGGAGCCAAAGTCGCCATCGATGAGGATCCGATCGGGTCCAACATCTGTAGTCCGTCCATCTCGTGACTCATCTGTACCCAAATTCAATCCAATCAAATCAATCGAGTCTCAATCGCGATGCGGACGGGATCTTAAGTCGCGTACTTGATGGCTCCGATGGTTTGGAGGCGGATGTCCGGTCATCGAAGGGTGATGGTGATGATACATCATGTCGTGTTTGAATTGAGAAAGGCCAGACTGACTCTGTTTCATATCGACAGCTGCTAACGCTTCCGCCCGTGCCGATAGGAGGCCTTCTTCCAAGCCTCCAAACAGATTCGCCTGACTGGCCAACGGGAAACTGTTGTAGTCCTTCAACTGCAACAAATGTAGGAGGATCCCTCTTAGTATAAGTTGCGTTTACCATTATGATACTGCATGATGAAATATTGATATCCTGCAGGTGTTCAGTTGAATGGAATTCTAGGCACAGTGGGCAGACTTCACACAGAGGCTAGGGGGGGGGGGGGATAAGAATCCTCCCATTTCTTCGCCCAACTCTTTCTTCAATTTCCCTTTCCGCATTCCACCATTACCATTTTCAGGAAGAGAAATCCAAAGAATGTTGGCCATTCTTAATGACCTAAGTGCTGTCTACCATTTCTCCGTGCAATATGGTGCTTTCATCGAAGCACGAAACGGGAGATCATCACAGGACTACCTGGCATGAGCATGCCTTCCGCCTCCCAGGTCACAGTCGGATGTATGTATGACATCCCGAGAGGGAGAGGAGATGGATGGAGTTGTGAGAGGCGAAGAAAGTGGATGGACAAAGAAGGAAGCACGCAAAGAGGAGATAAAGCGAGGAAAAGGGCGGTCCCTTCCAATATGGCTTCCCCATTCACTTCACACAACTCCCTGGAGACAAACCCAGCCTGCAGGAGACCCTTGCATCCAGCGTCTCCCTCAATTCCACCTCATGCCTCAAATCAATGACCTCGATTCCTCGCCTCTCATCCCTCCTTCAAAATCTGATGGCCAGCGAGCGTGTAGGAGAACATTATGCAACCTAACCATGAGGTCGACAAGGAATGGGTATTAGAAAAATTCCGAGAAGGGTTGAGTAATGAACCTTCTCCTTCCTTGACTCTCTCCCTGCATATTCAACAGACAGCGTATTTGTTTTTGTTAGGGGGGGGGGGGATAGTTGTGTTAAGACAGTCCCCTCGAGGGTGAGAGAATACGCTGTTGAATGAGCCACATTGCTACTCTCTTAGGCAGGTAATGGGTGTGTAATGGGCTTCTGGCCATGGCATGCATTAACGACTCATTACATATGGGAAAGCCCCCTTGTATTATAGATAGATATCAGGCAAGAGTACTTTTTTTGGATGCAATGCTGGAGTGTAATGACTTGTATAATGAAACGGATCCTCTGAAGTGGTTGCTGCTGGGAATCTAAAGCTTGTAATACATGAATCGTAGCAGATTTGAAGTAATGGATGCATGAAACCGAAGAGGTATGCTTGATACTCAGAAAATAGTCAGCTCCAATTCTTTTACAAAGGTAGTGGGAACGCATGTAATGATGCCTGTAACAGCTGTCGATTAACGGTGAAGTACGAAGGAGAGGTTTCTCTAACCCAGGGGTGTCAAACTCAAATCGGTCGGCGGGCCGCATTCCTTATCCTGGAGATGCCTGCGGGCCGCACCCATACTTTTTCACCGAAATTTTTGCTAACAGTCAATCCAAGCGGAAAGTTCAAGAACACGCGGCGGGCCGGATGAATCACCTCCGCGGGCCGTATGTTTGACACCCCTGCTCTAATCCTTCCAATTACCGATGAAGAGGCTGAATAACCAGCCTCTCGTTGGAAAAGTGCAGGCCTTTCTCAATTGAACGTACTGGAACGGTGCAGGTCAAGATTGTCACATAAGAATATTTCCCCCCTTAAAATTCAAATGATACCAGGACCGGGCAATTCAAAATTTTAGTTACAATGGTAGGAATATCGGTGGCTTCCACGCGTCCAATCTTGACCCCATCGGCATAATATTTCCTTATACGATAATTTACGGACATAGCTCCGGAGTGCACTCTTTCGGGGACTTAATGAACTGACGGTTGCCATGGCAACCTCTCTGGTAGCACTAGACGCTTACCGTCAGACCTTCAAGCATCTCACACCACAAAAAGGAAACTAGCTCCCATAGTTTGCATTTGCCTACAATTGATTTTTTTTTACGAAGAAATGGCGTATGCCAAGGGATTAAGCTGACGATGCAAGGAAAGTCCACAACCGTACATAACAAAACGTTAGCTGTCCATCAGAATTCAGTCCTTGGACATCCTCTACAGAGACAAATGAATCATGTCATGAAAGGGAAATGCATCGATTTTAAAAGATGAGTAGAAATAGACGATGTGATCGAAACGGGCATCCTTCTGCTATAGTGGGAAAAATTGGGTCATCTGTTATGGATTGGGAGAAGTGACAGTACCGTGCAGTACACGGTGACCCATTTTCATCGGCTTCTTACATATTTCTAATAGGTAACGACGCAACGCCTTCCAGAGAGTACTAATGCACTGGATATTATCCTGTAATTACGCCGTACATGCATGTGTACTATTGTCTGTTGTCACTTGGAATAAGAAGTAGTGATGTGCTTCACTTGACATTCCCCTGCAAAAACTCATCAGCAGAAAGCGTGTCTAAGAAAGTGTCTTGCCTAGAATGTTGCAGGTGCCCATTGAAAACTATTGCCTCCTAGTTCTTTCGAAGCGAGAATCTCTCCTAGAGTCATTTTTCGTACGCGCGGGCCATCGAGAGGGACGAGATGTGAAACTCGATCTGACGTTTTGGCATGAAGTTTTGAAGTGAATTCCTGAGCATGATACGGAAGCGTTCAAATATTCACAATGAAGGGCAGAAGTTAGCTAAGAAGGAAATGATGTGCAAATAGAGGAGGTTTTATCGTCCGTGCGGGGTCTCAACAAGTGGCTGATTGTATGCATCTTTCATTCACATGCATGCAAGTTTCATGTGGAAATCTCGCTTTGGTCATTAACCGTGCCTTGCCCTTCATCAAACATACACTAGCCCCCTCCATGCGATCTGTTTCGTTCCTTCAGTACATAGTAAATACATGTCCTGATGTGTTGCATGCAACCGTTGGTTTCCTTGGCCTCTGCCTGAAAGACCTCTTTCCTCTCTTTCGCGTCTTACTTTCCTGACAAGCTGGGGGAAAGGATCACCAGACTCTCTTTCCGTATACTCCCTCATTCAGAACCCTATCGCTTTTTCTCTGGAACCTAATGAAAGAGCATTAGGTCATACCTGGGAGAAATGCAGTCAAATTGTGTCCGAATCGCTGTGATATGAAAATTGGTGCTTGAAAGAATCGTGATGGTGAATCTTAAGACAAATGGGCGGGAATCTCCGTCGCATTTGCCTTTGCTAGGCTAGAAGGGAGACTGCGGGAACGATATGAAAATGAATGCGGAAATAATCAAACTTTATGATGATGAGACCAACCCACGCAAACACCTACGATTGTTCCTATAATTTTATTCTTGTAATTGATTTTTCGAAGTCCTAGTCGCTCCATACGACCTGAATCGGCTTTAGCCCTGGATGTCAGCCGAAGGATGGATGCGTCAACACTGGCATGGCATTGCTGATTGCCCGGGTGTAGAGAAAAATATAGACGCTTCTTTTTGAAGTTTTAGAAAGTCAAAAGGTGGAAACAACGTCCAGGATCATTCCATAGTGATCGATTTTTTAGGAGGAAGACTGTCTCAAATTCCTGTTTTGGATTTCCAAAATATAAGTATATTTAGGTTTCGATTCGATTCTGAAGAAGAGTTTTTTAAATCTATCGAGAAGGGAGACAAATATGGACGTAGCGTGCCCTAAATGTGAATCCGTCTCCTCATCCGTCGTGGGAGAGATTGTAGTTTCCTATATCCCGGTAGCTGCATGGATGAGAGAAAAGTCTTATCATGAGCAAAAGACAGCGAAGATTACAATGTTGTGAAAATCAGCATTTCAGTTGAGCTGAGTATCGACAGTAACGCCAAGGAGTTGGATTATGTTCTCCAATGTAGTCCAATCATGAACAAGAGAAGTAAGGTCGGTCGTGATAAGTACTCCACTTTGGGTAACACCAGAGAGGATCGCTGACGGTGTACTATATGAGTTGGCAGTCTCCTCTCGCGTTGGTACTTTCGTCTCCTTTCAATTCACATTCTTCCTATCGTTAAAAAAAAGTTGTACTTCATAGTACTAATACTTCATAGTAACAATTCAGTCAGTGCTGGAATAGCGTACGGAGGTGAACCTCTATCTTCTAAAATGCGTATGACTGTTGCTGTGAAAGAAAGACGCTGACCAAATCTTCATTATTTTTAATATTTGAATCCAAGCAAAATCTCTCTCGTGATTTACAACTTACTTCCTATCATGAAGTGCAAAATCTCTGAGAATAGATCACAGGTTCTTGCATGCCATAACGAAAGTCCCATAGAGATATTCTTATTCGTATACGTTCACTACTAAACCCCATGAGATCAGGTCAACCGAACATGGCTTACACCGAGTGAACCGCTTCAAACATGCAACAGAAAAGATTAAGTCTGCTGGCTCTAATTAGGGACGGCTCAAGAGGGCTGCTCAAAAGGGTTCACGCTTTGGTCAGGTAGAGTGAAACGGCTGGAAGCTGAAATGGTCTACCCCACATTGACTGAATTGACCCTAATTCATTAAAGAGTGAGAACACCTACTCTGAAACCACCGAGTCAATCCACAGTCCATAGAAGTGCAACTCACCGGAGGATTTGTCATACATCTTCTCATGGGGTCAGGAGGGCGATAGGTTGGGGAATATCTACCGGTTGTAAAACACGGAGGTCCAGGGGGTGCTGTGATGGCCGGTCCTAATCCCGGTTTCCCATTCATCATGATACAGTAGCATCAACAAATAACAACAAATTCACATGCACCCACACACATTCAAGACACGCACACGTCCACGCGCAGTTCTTCGCCCACAATGGCTGTGTCACGAGAGGGTCCAGATCGCTTCGATTTCAGTCCGAGTTGGAATAAATGATTGAAGGACCACGGTAGCTGTGAAATATTCACAGCAACACGTTCGACTGAAGAGAGAGAGAGAGAGAGAGAGAGGACAGAGTGAGGCGGACCTGCGTGAAGCACGGTCTTGCCTTTCAATTGATTGGCAAGCCAGCCAGCCGAGCTACAGAACGAAAATTTTCCACCTGCTCTCGATCACGAAAAAGTTAAATCTCCCCTCTATATCTGTGCTCACGTGCTACTTCGGTCTTTGTCTCCCTCTCTCTCGCTGACCACCAGCCTAGTTACTCGACGATGTCCATTGTATTGTGGGCATTTCCTTCTCCTGGCAGTTACCTGCGTATGTGAATCGCTAGCGAAATGGATGGGGGTGGTGGAGGTGGTGAGCTAGGGGCGCATGCGTTGCTCCACCCTTTCCTCTCATTGGTGGGATTCCTGATGATAGGGGAAGATCCCTGAGATGTGAAAGGCCAGGCCCTCAATGCTCGCCTCTACAGACACGA